ACTGTACACGCTACATTTGTGTAGTGACAGTTATTTCAATTGTATATATAATTTCAGCTTTTTTTCTGATTTCGTTCATATAAAAATATTTGAAACTGTGTATTTTGACAAGAAAAGAGATGAATATTCGTACTGTAAAGATCCTGAGTAGCTTAAAATGACAGAAATAACTTGTTGTACTGTAACGTGAGAGGCAACAAAATCACAACGTAAATAACTGTTGTGGTCATTGATTGCACACAACAGGAGGCACTGAAATGCATCTTGTTGAGTCCAAATGAAGGGTTGTGTTCTTAGTATCTTATGAAACGAATAAAATTAAGACTGATTTTAGTGAATAACTGATCATACATGCAAACCACCAGGTCTCAAAAGTGTAGATGCTGTGTTCCCATAAAACCTTGTATTTCATAGTAGCCAAAGTAACAAATTTTTATTTCTAAATACTCGTCCAATAAACTAACATTATTTTTTTAACAGTACATTAGATTACACACAATCTAATAACAACACTATCGATCGACATGGAACAACTGAAGATGGCTAAATGAATACCATGCAATTACCATATTTATGTTTTAATCGATAAACAGCAAGGAATATATAACTTTATCACTAAATTACTATTCAATATCTAATTTGAATAAATAAGGTTTAGGTTGCTGAATATAAAACTATTTTACATTTCAAATAAACAAATAAAATACCTATTTATTCAGTTTTGTTTTTAATTTTTATCAGAAGGGGGTTTTGTGGAGATTTCAGTAATTTTATAGTTAAAATCGTGAGTCAATTGAAGCTAGACTACCATTAAAAACCTGGAATCACTGGACGGCCGTTTCGTCCGATTGTGTGACTCCTCAGCAGTGCGCATCACCGATCCCGCCCCGCGAGATTCGAACCCAGGACCTATCAGTTAGACATTAACATCGTTGGATGCCGGCTCAGTGGTCTAGTGGTTAAGCGCTCGCGTGCGGCTTGATTACATACCATGTTTAAAACAATCATTTGGTAGTAATATACAGTTTGCTTTTAGTCATATTTCTCTAAAAATGATTTGATTAGTTAATTTTTAATTAAACAATTTTAATAGTCTTGATTCGAGAAATGTTTTGTCTAATACACAATGATAGGTGTTATCCAAATTTATGACTGAAATGATTCATCGAACCAAAATTATTATATACAAGGACTTTTTTTAAAGAAAATAAATACATTCATAATGAAAACAGTTTAGTTTATTTTATCAGAAGGGGTTTTGTGGAGATTTTAGTAATTTTATATAGTTGAGATCATGATTCAATTGAAGCTAGACTGCTGAGGAGTCTCACAATAGGACGAAACGGTCGTCCAGTGCTTCCAGGTTTTCCATGGTGGTCTAGCTTCAATTGGCTCATGATCTCAACCATATAAAATTAGTTTATTTTAGTCGGAGATTTAATAAGTAGTATTAGATAATGTATAAATGAAAAATATGTAGATAAATTATATGTTTTTAAGAATAACTATTTAAAAGCTAATCAAGAATTTGTCTAAACTTAAGAAATTAACGTACATAGTTTTAACTTTTATTTGTTATAAGGATATAATTAGAAATGAACAATAGAATAAAGACTTACTGATACTTTGAGGGATATCTGTAAACATGAAATCATTAGCTTAAATCAAATTAAACAAGAAATCAAGCTAATAAGCTTTTGTGCTCTCGTGTATTTTCTCTGATATTAAAATGTTATTTATGTTTATTCTTTGAAAGTATTATACATTGTGAAGATAGTTTTAATTACAAATTAACATATACTGAAAAACTGAATGATAATCATATGTTCGCTATTGGGCAACTTTAAGGTAGATTCTTGAATGGTCTATCAAGAAACATTGATTTGTGGAGTTAAAAAATATGAGGTTTAAACAGTAACTCGTGGATTACATTGAGTAAGAATCAAATTGTATCATGAAGTAGTTGAACTTAAAAATGTGAACAACTCGATTTCGATTGAATGAATTATGTGTACTGTGTTTATCTAAGTTTTATTTCTGGATTCTTAACAGGGTAGTAATCACTTATTAGTGAGGGGTCAAAAACCAGAACAAAACAGACGTTCAATGATTCCTAATTTTAATTAATTTTTCAAATAAAGCCAGTTACTTTTTAACTTTGTTTGTTGATGAATGACTTAGTTTCAGCGAGGAAACCTTTGGGGTATAAAACAATAATTTAAATGCGGATAAATACGTTTTTCATGATATGTAGCTTTTTCTATGAAAGTATTTTTCGTAAACGGTTGGTTTTAATATGGGTGGATGCGTTCTTAAACACTAAGAAAGGTTTTGTCTTTAAATTTCTAACGGTCTACAGTACCAGACATACGTCGTTCAAGACTATGGTCTTAGGTAACTATTTTATTTAACATTGAGTAATATCGAACTCAGCTGAAAAACTAGCTTAAAACAGAAATTACCTAATACTGTTTTAACTTGAGAGCAATATATTTTAAAGTTGTAAACAGTTTAATTTCAAAGAATACAACTCAGCTTTGAGAACGAAATTCCATTAGGATTACGCTCTATAACTACAAATCTCCAGTATATTGAATCTCTTATAAATACTTCCCTCTTATGGGATGTCATTTAAAATAGGACACTGAGTTTTAAAGCGATGAATGAAATTTGCTAATTTTACAAATAATCAGCAGCTTTTATTATTTTGTAAAGCTAGAAGCTCTATGTTTTATCAATAAAATTAACTTAAATCATTCTGAATGAATAATTGCCCTTTGTAGTTGAACTCGGGATAAAAACTAGTACTTTATAATCTTAAAGGCAAAATCTTATCTCTAAGCCATGAAAATTTATCACTTGGTGGAGTAAATTAGACAGTATAGTTCTCTAATAGATTCCTAGTGACTAAAGTAACAAACAATTGAAAAATCTGAGTAAACAAAATACTTAGTATCGGTAAAAACATTTATAAGGTATTTACTTAAGACAATAACAATCGTGGTTGTTTTTTAGTGAAACATATCTAAAGAATGGCTATTCAAATAAATATATAAAAACAGACTGTATTTTAAATTCTAATAATTTATGATTAGAGAGGCTTTGCTTCAATAGTTGTTTGTGAAAATTATGTGTATGCCTACTCAGTAGAAACTAATCTTATTCAAAATACCACTATGACTTTCATTTCTATATAATTTAGATGTTACAATCTCTAAGACCTGGTTTTACAGGATTACATTTTACTACGACAAAATCCATTTAACCTTAAACAACAGTATCCTGTTACTGTTATTTAGCCCGCCTGCTTAACAGAGACGTTCAATAACTAGTCCGTTAACTGGTTGTTATTATTGGTGCCAGACAATCAACACATTTGAATTGAAAAAAATACCACATTTTATGGCAACTATTATAAATCAGTGAAATTTAAACAAAATGATGGATTTACTATTCTGTACATGAATGTCCCCCAAGAACACACGAAAACGACGATTCCCATTGCCAGTCAGTAATGTGTGATTGGTATATGTCAGAGTTAGTCAATAATGACTTAAACGCATTGCACTCTCATTTTCACTGTCAGCACAAGACAACAATTGTTATTAAGTCTCAAAACTTTAAAAGTCTTAAGATGTTCAATATTCATCAGTTACTCTTTTCTGCTACTTGTTGTTACAATTTACATTTAAGCGAAAGGGCGGTTTGTTTCATGGTACAAAAATCTGAAGATGAATTTACCTGCCAAGGTATGCTGTGCCAAGACTACTAAGTTTATTCTAAATATAATAAGACATGGAATGGTTTTTACTGTAATTATCAAATTACAAAATCACACACTTTTCAGATCTGAAGAATACGATGTTACCACCCTCAAAATCTGGTACTTAATATGGTTGGAATAATAGAAATATCGTGATTGAAAAGCAGATTACAAACTATGAATTTCATCGAAAAGCAAATAACCAACGCAATACTCGAAACGTAATTGATCGCAAATTAGAATTTCTCAATGACGCCCCATGCTACTAAGCCCATGAATTGAAGGTTGAGTTAAAAAGCCTGGAGTTGGTCAACTATTGATTGCTTACAAAAAAATTTGAATACTCAACTTTGACCGTAAGTGCAAACCAATTATTAGGAAAACAGTTGTGTAGCTTTATGGCTTTTATATAAGTGTGATTGTTGACAAAATCACCTACCTTTTTATTAATTTCATTATTCTAACAAAAGGATAGACATAAAAACAATGAGACATAATGTCGTAACGAGCCATACTAGAACGAAGCTTACATAGAGGTAAGAATATTAGATGACATGAACACTACATGGGCTTCATGTCAGTATTCCTTTCCAAATAATTGTGTACTGTGACCTTGCAAAGAATAATGTCATGGACTATTGTGTATTGCATACTGGTTATCGATTAGCGTCGCCGTCAAGAATTTCAGCATAACAAATTATGATAGAAGGAGTTTATACAAAGTATCTTGTAAAATACTATGCAAAACAATTCATGAAGCCAAATTAATTGGTGTACACACAAATGTCTGCATCAGTCAGTCCAAATAAATCCTGAAAAAACTCAGGCGAAAAATTCAATGCTTTCCACGTACTTGAAAAATAGTTGCTGAGTAAAGATAACTTTAGAAATGAGGAAATAGGGAAAACCCGAAATTTTCACAGAACTCTGACGATTTTCTTCAGACATGGAAAAAAATTTTTTGGAGTTCTCGTGTCACTGATTCCAGAATTCCCTCAAAGTTTTCTCTTGCACTTCACCCAAAGTTTGCTCCAAAAAGGACTTAATTTTCTCCAAAATGAAGAGATTGATGTCTCAATAATTTTTACACAAAGTTACGTTGAAACAAAACTTATAAAGACAAAAGGACAAATTGACTGCAGAAATAAATCCGAAATTATGTCTCTGAATATTTAAAATACCACATGACTTCATAAATGAAAAGAGCTTGATATGCGTACATTTAGGCATCCCTTACCTCCTATAACAATACCAGCTATAGCGGATGAAGACAAGCCAGCTCCAAAGTTTTCGCTCATATACTTGGAGTAAGCGGAAGCATATTCTTTCCTTGGCATAAGCTTAATGAAATTATCATCCATCCTGTGACAATTCTAAGCTCATATCACGCTCTATTTAGGGCAAAATAGAATCCTTGAAAGTTCATACATTTAAACAATAAACTTTTTTTCATGATCCATTTTTTGGAAATTTTAAATCACTTCGAATTTGATAAATTCAATATACTAATTATTAAGCGCAACTCCCTATGCACTACCTATGTCTTCTCTATTAGCGAATTCCCAGTATTTATAAATAAGTAGCGTGTCGGTTGTAACAAAATCAAATACTTCCTGAGATCTGTTTTATTACTCCGTTTTTTCAGATGCAATAAGGGATAAATGGACTATTTGGAGTTTGACCACACTTTTATTAGTAACACTTTTATAATCGAAGTTTGCCAACCTAGTCAAATCAGAAGTCAGAAGTAATATCGGAAAGGCTATAATCTTTTGACCTCAGCTGATTAACGTTTGTGAGAGCTGTATGGCACACAGCACCCGCTCGTAATCATGTGCGAATACATGGACGAGCGTCTTTAGATAAGGTGTGTCCGATAAAACCAAAGAGGTCAGCATTAGTGATTAATGCTTACGGAACTGTTTATTTTCGGTACTTATTTATAATTACAGCCTCTCCATTACAGTAGAAAGATCGCGTTTCTACCGTTCTTAACTTATCAAAAATGTGACTAAAGCTGTTTCCGAGCTAGCTTGTATAACACTCGTTTTCAAACTATATATTCATGCCATGCGAATCCCATTCAAATGATTTTATTTCAGCCAAAACACTTTATTGAAGCCATTCAAGATTTCGTTTTACCAAGAGTAATTACTGATGATTTTAACCAATCCAAACTGTTCAAATGGTCTTTGACGGAATAGATGGAGCTTTCACTTAACTGGCTTCTGTATCATGAAGCAGTGAACCACCGATCCCTTCAGATCGGAACATATGTATATTTAACGGTAGTAAGAGGAATAATAGCAAATGACAATGGTGTACGTTCCGGAGTCTTAATTATATACTGAGGATGCCCCGGGTATTGTAGTTTGATAACACTTAAACCAGCAACACCTTCTTTGATTAAATCGTGCCCACCCAGTGAAATGAAAAGTCAGAAGCGAGGAGGTTGGAAGGTATATTTGATAGCTTATCAATATATCTAGGAGTGACTGATCTTAACTGGCTAGCGATTTCGGATGTTGAACATGGCGTTCGGACTCCATATCTGATGCGGATGCATGACCAAGCGCCTTCAGCCAAGTGAGTCCGTTAAAACTAATTTAGGCAATATCCAATGTGGAAGACTTACAGAGCTATTGATTTTGGGGGTTTATTTACCGCTACAATATCACGTTTTCTCATTTGGGGTATCTATGAAGTCGCTTAGACTACTTCAGCTGGAAGCAAATCCCATAATTTGGCTACTTGCAAAGGTTTAGGACATTGCCCACATTTCTATATGCCATATCGTGTCTTCAGTTTGTGGGTATTACCATCAAGTTTAGTGTTATACAAGTATGCTCCTCCCTGAAATCATTCTACTGAACTGAAATGACGTATACGGATAATAAGTAGTCACCTTGACCATCGTACATTAGGAACTCTATAACTCTAAGTATATTGAGATAAATGCTACCGTCCGATAGCTTAAAGGTTCATTGTATCGGCTCCCCTCAAAAATTGATGTAACATGAACCACATTTCAGTTTTTCGAGACTACTCATCGGTTCGGTGAGTGAGAGGACAACACACTAAACAGTTTTACCAAGATTTAAGCCTCTTCTCTCGCTAAAGCAAGTTGAACATTATCCGGGCCTGAAGAAATATTTTTGTTTGCATGCTATAGATTTTGATACACCAAGTCAGTGCTCAACTTCACATCTAGGAGTCATGTTGAGTTGTAATTGGTTATTTCAAATGTTGTTATATATATATATATATATATATATATATATATATATATATAGTTTATGTATTTACAAGTTTCATCTTTACATCGTATCATTCTATAATAATCTATGATTAGGTACTTTTACTTGAGACATTATTACAAATCCACATTGTTCTGTTTGCGCTACATTTATCTATTTTTTAACTAATGTAATGAAATAATCATAGTGAGCCTTGAATTGTTCCAAACATAAAGGACTGTATATTTCAGTACCAATTAATGGTTGAAATATCGTTAGCTATGAAATAATAAGATGAGCCAATACATCAGAATCAATAAAATAATTGTGCCGGAAGTGCTATACTGAATGAGGGATTGATTTTATTTTTCTTAGCATGAATTCTTTTCTATCTCTATAACGTTTATTGGTTAAACCGTCTCACAAGAAAAGAAGTTAAGAGGCAATTGGTGATTCTTTATAACTACAAGGAGTTATCACAGAATCTTATACTGGAGAGTAATTAAGCGAAATGCAATCATAATGTAGCTTATTTCATTCACTAATAATAACTATGACGTTTCCACCCACACAGAGGATATTATCATGTCTTTAACTTTATAAACAATGTCATATTGTAACAAGGCATCCTTCTTCATCTGATAAGTACAGAAAAGCATAGAGATTCCAACTGCCCTCAGAAGATATGTGCTTTTCATTCATATGTCCTGCCTCAATTTTGGCCGAAAACACACAATAAAGTGTATGAGCAGCTCATATTATGTTGTACCTATAAGAATAATCCCATTTACTGATGACACGACAGGAGCCTAAAAAATTTCCATAAAATTATGCATTCAGTATGGATTTCATCATCCCATAAGAATATTCAAGTGCCTCCCAAGAGAAGAGGACAAAAAGATTAACGTGTCACTACCGTGAATCCCTTAAACAACCAGTCTACAGTTTCTTTCAGTAGGACTTGATGCGAAAGAAATCTGCTTAGTAAGAACCCACCAAAGTAGATACTGTTAACTTCATACAGAAAAATTTTTATTCAGAGATAGTTTTAGACCTCATTTATATATCTGCAATATAACGTCATCTACATGACATAATCACACTTTCCCTAGTTTTTATGAAATGAACACTGTATCTTGCAAGTAAATGTGATTTAACACCAGTCAATATTCATCACCGATATAAGCAACTGGTCATAAGTTGAATCAACTGAACGTATTAACAACTTTTTATTTCGCTTTTTAGATCATATGATTGTATCCTCACACCTACCTTATACCTTTCGTCAGAGTCATTCTGAAAAACTGTAGATCACTACTGTAGACGGTCTGTGTCGAGTAATTGGGGGACCACTCGAGTTAAACGAGGATGATGTTACCAGCGAGCTAATGTCAAAAGCACACCTAACGTAGATTACCTTCTCATAGTATCTAGGTACAATGGGCAATTTGAGGACCGTACAACACCGACGACTTTAATACGGGAATATGTAGTAACAGGAGGTACAGAGAACAGAGTGTGACCACTGCTGTACGGGACAGTCCATGACACGCAATTAACTGGTCTGCATCGCTCGTCGTCGACCCTGACGGGGATCGATGAACTGTTCATTCGACCAACGGATGATTTGGATGGGGACTGGTGATATTTCACTGGCCTTACAAACCTTCAAAGGAAACTAATCATATTAGTTGTATAACACCGGACATAAGACTCATCATCAGTGTTATCTCCAGGTTTTTTTGGCTTCAGGACTTCAGAGAGGACCATTTTAAACATACGAAACCTATCCAAAAGTCATCCTGAGAATCTATTATAACATAAAAACCTTTATTTGTACATATTGTGTAGCATCCTCAATATGCGAAACGCAAAAAACATTAATCACACTGATGGAGGTCATATTTCTTCCAAGATCTATTTATATCTTTCATTTGTTTCATAACACGGATTGTTTAATCGAACTGAAATAAAATGTTTACCATGAGAACAAACGAGAGCTTTCTGAATTTAGGGATGTAATGTATGTAATCACATGTTTTAACAACTTCTGTCTTCAGATAGCCAACCGTCTTAATTTGCTTTTGCGTTCTTGCTTTACTTATGTTATTAACTTTTTCAGCAGACGTAAGTGCGCCCTATGTACTTATTGAGTCAACAGCTCACTTTGTACTTTGTTATTTCTGAATTTCACCAAGTACACTGCGATGCACACTTAAAAATCGAATAATGTATACCATCAGACATAACACTCCAAATGTTTTTGTTTAATCCAGATATTTACCCATAAGTCATTTCTAGCTGCTTGGGAGAGTTGCATTTCACAAACTAATTTACGAAAAATGAGTTTAGGCGTAAGAGGGTTTAGATATTAAAAATGTATGTACACTTGTTAAAGTGACGCAAGTTTAGGTAGCCCACTCGGCAGCCTGGTCACCTAGGGTTATGAAGCTTCGTAGTAGACCGGAGTTATTTGTTTGAAATAAGACAAGCATTTTTGCTTAGTACTTCTTCACCCTTCATGAAATTAGATTCCTAGGAGTTATGACCCGTTTTACGATCCCTTAACAAGCTATCTGAATGCACTCTTCTAGTGTTTATGTGAGAGGCGACCAAACGCGGAAGCATATCTTTTATGGATACAGAAAATAAGTTCTTACTAGCGAAGGTTATTCTCAGTTTAGCAGCATCAAATGTCCCTTTAATCGTTGTTGCTAAACGATTTTTGATTACGTCTGATGTTCGATCGCCTTTAAATTGCAGACTTATATAAAGGTTTTGTCTTTGGGACGGAATAACTAGGTTTCCTGTCGATGCTACTTCTATTCATATTCTTCTCTATGAACCAGTCTGGGTAGCCGTTTTTCATCAAGGTTTTCTTGAGGAACGCGAGTTTTTCATTGATGCATTCCGTACTACATATCCGATGTATACGATAACGTAACGAATGAATCACGTTTCTTTCTTTACTTAACGGAACCCAGCTATAGAAGTTGGTTAGTTGGCCATTCCAAGTTTGCTTTCTAAAGATGGATCTTCTTAAAGAACCATTACTTCTTTTCACCAGACGTACATTAGGAAAAGGGATTGATTGGTCTCGCTCCCTTTCTAATGTGAAGTCTACTGAAGGATGGCATAAATTAAAGCAGTGTAAGATATCCTCTAAATCACTATTATCGTCACAAACGACAAATAAGTCGTCCATGTACTTTACGTATAGGTGGAATCGATTTATCATTGAACTGAGTTGGTCGTTTTTTAGTTTTACCATGAAGCAGTCCGCTAGATTTAGACCTAATGGAGACCCCATTTCAATCCCATCTTTTTGTCTATATTTTCCATTGTTAAAAGTGAACTGGACATTAAAGGTACAACGTAACAATAATTCTCTTAAGTTTTCAGTTGGAATACCTAGATCTATGTTGTTAGAGTCAATATACTCACAAATATAACATATCGTTTCCTTTAACGGTACACTAGTGAATAAAGAATTAACTCAGGTGAGAACATGTGTTTTCCGGAAGTATTAACATCCTTAATACGATTAATAAATTGAAAAGTATCATGAATATAATATTTAGATACTTGTCTTCTATGTGGTTCCAATTTTTCAACTAACGATTGGGCTGTTCGGTGGTATGGTGAACTTGACATATCCGAAATAGGTCGTAATGTTAAACCAGCTTCATGTACTTTCGGTAGTCCATATAAGCGTGGGATGATTGAACCCATTGGGCGTATGCGATAATATAAATCCTGGGTTATTATCCCCTTATTTTTAAGATTTTTAACAACATCCGTTAGCTGTTTTTTAATCTGCAGTGTTTTATCACCTCCTTTAGGTTCGGAGAACTTAGTGACATCCTCTAGGATTAACCTCATTTTATCCAAATATTCTTGGCGGTCAAGTAGTACTACACCAGCTCCTTTGTCAGGTTTACTTAAGATTAAATCCTTATTTCTTTTCAGGAGCATTAGCTGATCCAAATGGTTCTTAGTTAATAAGTTATTCTTACTACATTGTATATTAACATTTTAATGTTTAAATGAAAAATATGTCTCGCTATTATTCATAGTTAGCCAGTTTGATAAGATTTTATGCATATAAAAATGACTTTTCAGATAGATTAATACCAAATCACTATTCGAGTCAAGAGTGACGAAAATGTTATGATAATCCTCGGAACATTAGTATTATCTACATAGTTGTTTCTGTATAACCACCCAGTTTAATAAAAACAGAAATAAGTAAATTGGTCAGCACTGAAAATATCAAGAAGGCAACAGTGCTTAGATATAAGTTGATTGTATTACTTACATGTTTTAGTAGCACATAGTATATTTTTTTACCCTATGGAGTAACTTAAATTACTGAATTACTCGTTGTATAATCACTTTACGACAATGATAAGAGTTTCGGTATGACGAACTAATTAGTATTATAAGCCTAGTCAAGGAATTCAAGAGGTAAATTAAAATAAAAATTGAACCTTTTCTTTTATGAGTATTGTCTATAGATTTTGATGGGATCGTTAAACACGTTTGAGTTTCACAGAAGTGTCGGTATCCATTTATAAACTGTCGAATGTTAGCAGACGATGCGAAATGTCTTATATTTACTGGTTTTGGCATTAGATAAAACTTCATTTACCATTCCGACTAAAATAAGTCTGTATGACACTTACATTTTACTCAGTAATCAATTTACTATCTAATTTTCTGGCTTCAATCGGTAAAGCATTCAAAAGAATTTGTCATTTAGGACAAAATATATCACTTTTTATAACATTGGGATCTCCAAAAGCTTCGAGGAATTGCAAGCATCTTAGTGTTATTAAATTGTTTACTCCTATCAAAAATTAACTAAAAATTTGATTTCATTTTATTGGATGGAAGAATTGTCAAACATTGTTTGTGGAAACAATGCTGTATGAAAGTTATTTTTGGTTGAAGTGTTCAACAAACCGTTTGATATGTGTAAAGTTCTTTGACTTACTCCGTATGCGTAAATAACTAGGTTTTAGGAAGTATAGTGACTCTGGAAATTCCTAAGCTTCTTATCTCAGTATACGCAAGTAACTGCTAGAGTAAAGAGATAGAAAAGTTTCATGAGATTGAATTGATAATAGCATAAACTCCTCTACTTGGTTTCTAAGTCTATTGTATCTCTAAGCGTTTCGGTAAGTTCTACAATGTCGGAGTTTACTTAGAGGAGATGATTAGTGAAGGAAATATTCTGTTGTTTGTTTGTTTAACACTAGAAATCATATAAGGTTGATGAGTTCTTTGACTTTTAATATCAAAAAAAGTTGAGAAATCAGGATTGAGCCATATTTATGAAGTAATTCCGTTACTTTTGAAGTAAACATTCATGTCATTTACTGGAGTACTTTCAACGTATGCTCTTTAAATCACATGCGTTCTCTAGACTATCTCAGTACCTGTCAATATGGAGTTTTGTGTTGATCAAACACTGAGTAAGTAAATTGGTCAGCACTGAAAATATCAAGAAGGCAACAGTGCTTAGATATAAGTTGATTGTATTACTTACATGTTTTAGTAGCACATAGTATATTTTTTTACCCTATGGAGTAACTTAAATTACTGAATTACTCGTTGTATAATCACTTTACGACAATGATAAGAGTTTCGGTATGACGAACTAATTAGTATTATAAGCCTAGTCAAGGAATTCAAGAGGTAAATTAAAATAAAAATTGAACCTTTTCTTTTATGAGTATTGTCTATAGATTTTGATGGGATCGTTAAACACGTTTGAGTTTCACAGAAGTGTCGGTATCCATTTATAAACTGTCGAATGTTAGCAGACGATGCGAAATGTCTTATATTTACTGGTTTTGGCATTAGATAAAACTTCATTTACCATTCCGACTAAAATAAGTCTGTATGACACTTACATTTTACTCAGTAATCAATTTACTATCTAATTTTCTGGCTTCAATCGGTAAAGCATTCAAAAGAATTTGTCATTTAGGACAAAATATATCACTTTTTATAACATTGGGATCTCCAAAAGCTTCGAGGAATTGCAAGCATCTTAGTGTTATTAAATTGTTTACTCCTATCAAAAATTAACTAAAAATTTGATTTCATTTTATTGGATGGAAGAATTGTCAAACATTGTTTGTGGAAACAATGCTGTATGAAAGTTATTTTTGGTTGAAGTGTTCAACAAACCGTTTGATATGTGTAAAGTTCTTTGACTTACTCCGTATGCGTAAATAACTAGGTTTTAGGAAGTATAGTGACTCTGGAAATTCCTAAGCTTCTTATCTCAGTATACGCAAGTAACTGCTAGAGTAAAGAGATAGAAAAGTTTCATGAGATTGAATTGATAATAGCATAAACTCCTCTACTTGGTTTCTAAGTCTATTGTATCTCTAAGCGTTTCGGTAAGTTCTACAATGTCGGAGTTTACTTAGAGGAGATGATTAGTGAAGGAAATATTCTGTTGTTTGTTTGTTTAACACTAGAAATCATATAAGGTTGATGAGTTCTTTGACTTTTAATATCAAAAAAAGTTGAGAAATCAGGATTGAGCCATATTTATGAAGTAATTCCGTTACTTTTGAAGTAAACATTCATGTCATTTACTGGAGTACTTTCAACGTATGCTCTTTAAATCACATGCGTTCTCTAGACTATCTCAGTACCTGTCAATATGGAGTTTTGTGTTGATCAAACACTGATGATAGAATGAACTGTGTCTGATCCCCAATACTTGAGAAAATTTGGAAACTTTTCCCCAAAGTAGTTCACGTATCTTCTATCATGTGGTAGTAAAGTGTTTCTGTAGCCTCAGAGTTATTTGTTTTATCAGAGAGCTCACTGACATATACTGTACAAAAGAATAAGGAGGATTGTGAGATGGGATTTTATGCAAGCGAAAATAGTTCCTGTAATTGTCAAAACAAAATAAAGAGCTATTTGATTCTCAGTGATTGCTAAATTGCTGTTATGTCAAACAGAGTTAGTACGTATGCATTATTGACTGTCCTATTATTTATAAATTTAGATTGCATTTGTCAAATTACACGTCATTTCTGTTTGACATGCACATTCTATAGAAAAAATCTGAAGTATTCGTTTCTTTTCAAATTTAGAACTTGAAATAAGCTATAAACCATGAAAAGCGTGAACGAAAAAGAAACTCCAGTTGAAAACACTTTGCGTAATAAGGTTAGTTACCTATTTATTCTTTTATATTGTAACATGACTAAAACCGTGATCATTTAGAGTGCTAGAGGTAGCTCTAAAAGTCGAAGCGGACGTAAATCAGGATCATCACTTGGTAAGCCAGCGGATAAAGGTGGCAGCAGACATTCTGATGCAGTGGACGGCTCATCGTTGACATCAATTAAAGAAAGTCATAAACCATTGGATATATTCATTCGAAATGAACTAATGCCTAACTGCGCACCGATATTTTTATCGAAATCAACACAAAAAATATTTAATATTGTAACTGATGAACAAATTACCAGAGAATCACCAATCATTTTATTGAACAAATCTGATATACTTAAAGATTTGCAATTACGTGCAGCTGTATCAGATTTTAGTGTACAAAAAGTTGCAATAAAAAATTATCCCGGTTCTGATATTTTATTAATTTACGATGCAGATTATAAATTTGGTCAAAATTTTGTTATCGTCTTATCTGAAGAGACAAAATCTCTTATACTGAATCCAGTTAAACAAGCGGTTGATGGTCAATCAGAACATGATAGTAATGGTGATATGAATGATGGCATAAACGATGACGAGGATAATATAGAAGAATACAAAGAATCTAGTGATTTATGTTTTCTGTTTAAATCGAAATCAGAACATGGTTGGATTGAATTAGGTTCGGAAAATGAAATTACCGAAATGAATACTTTTGAAACACGTTCAAAAGTATATACAATTTTTCAAAGACCACGTAAAGAATTTGGTAGTGTATTACATTTGCAAGATGAAAATGCTACACAGAAAGGTTTTTCTGAACAGATTTTATCACGTGAAGATGAATCATTTAATATACCTATAATGGAGTTAGATAAATCAACTACGAATTGTGAAATAACATGTGATAAAGGTGTGAATACAAATTGGAGATATCCAAAAAATGCTTTCACTCAGTATGCTCCTAGAATGTATACATCTGATGAATTAAAACATTTTTATCATGAGAATAATGACGCTTTACTTAAAATATCGAAACTATATCCACTATTTGAACAAAGTTTATTGGAAAATGAAATGTACAATTTTTTATCAAATGATTATGAGAATTTACCTATTGGTGATGAAACTTATGATACAAGAAGTGATAATACATTCAAAGAATTTTTATCATTTACTGATTTAAAATATAGTAAAAATAAAGCTATTACAATGATTCAATGGCATCCAAATATTAAAGGTATTATTGCAACATCTATTAGTGAACGATTAATTTATGATCAACGTATTGACCAAGCATCAAGAATTCTATTACAATCAACACATATTATATTATGGAGTTTTAATGATCCATTAAAGCCTCAATTATTATTAAATGCACCAGATGATATTATATGTTTTCAATTTAATCCAACTAATTCGAACTATATAGCTGGTGGTTGTGTCAATGGACAAGTAGTTTTATGGGATATTGAGAAGCATATTGACGATTTAACTAATGTTAAATCACGATTGAAACAAAATAATCAAATGCCTTTATTTGTTTTTGATGAGAATGAATTAAATAAAGTATCAATATCACATTATTCCGCTTTAAGTAATATTGAATCATCACATGGTTTACCAATTATGGATTTGAAATGGATACCGGATCATTTGGAAATTAATCGTTTAGGATACTGTTTTGAAAATTATACACAGAAATGTGTTCAATTGATGACATGTGGTTTAAATGGTGAAATATTACTATGGGATATACGACCAGAGAAAACACCATTAGCTATAAACAAAACAAGTGATTCACTTAAACCACCAATTAATGTACCATTAACATTTTCGGCACTAGATCTGAAATGGAAACCATTATTAAGAATACATTTATATACAAACGATCCAGTTAATGACCATGCACCAATTAAATTTTGTATACGTGTAGGTTGCATTCTATTATTTTACTTTAATTTATTATCAGTCGTATAGTTTGTTTTAACTTATACATATCTTTATTTAATACCTAGTTGTAGTCCTCTTGATTAAGGTGATCATTGTCTGGAGACGTTGGCTGATATGGTTCTTAACCTATCGCAATAGCACATATATATCCAACCTTTGTGCCTCCTAGATCGTGATATAAGGAAATATTTTGTGTCTTTTATTCTGAGAATAAATTCTTTTTGAACCATATTTTTCAAGTCTTATCTTCTTTTTGTTATTACTGATACTGATATTACGTTTGCTACCCAAACATTCATCCCAACAATTTCATCTGGTTGTGCTGATATAGAGTGGCACCTTGGATTGACCTCTATATGTAATAGTTTCTGTGTTGTCTATGATTAACTGACTAGCAACAAAAACTTTGAGTTTGGTCTTATCCAACATATTTTTCACAGATAAATAGTAAGATACTATCGAATGCAACAGAGGTACCTCAAAATCTACTGAATAGATATATGTTGGCACTTTAAAATTTTATTATGGCAATTTATAATATTGTAAGTGTTATTACCAAGGTTTGACGTGATAATTTAAAGTAAATTTGTTAGAATGTTATTCATATTATTATCAATATTATTATCCTCTTTTATTGTATATCCTTTGGAAAATATAATACACATCAGGATATGAAATCTTAAATTATGATAAAAAAAACTTTCATCACGAACTAAAATTAGAAAAAAAAATTTTTGAAAACCGAACAGATGCTTTGCCCTATCTTGTGACTCCATGATTGTAATCATACATGACCCCGTTCAGTATCGAAATCTTGATGTTCGAGACACAGTACCAACAATAAAATAAGTCAGGAGTCCTCAGTTCGTGTTTTCTATTTCAGTTGTTTGGTGTTAAAACAAAATCCCCATTAAGTGTTATCGTATGTTTCACCTCAATCCAAGCTTTACTTACTTTGCAGCATACGGTTTCTCATTAGTAATGTGGGAAATCCATTCAGAAGTTAGTAATCTGTAAAAACGTAAAGGCTATGAAGAAAATTTGGCTTGGTACTATTGAATAATTTCGGACTAGGACGAAGCAGCTATCTACTATCCTTTTATTTCCGCTAGTTATACTTCTAGAGTCTTTTTTGATGAAAGTTATTCTTCACTTGTACGAAATTACTGCAAACTTACGCTAGCAAACTATAATGGCTATTCATAAATTTTCATTTACTTTTGATAGTCTGACTTCATAGACAAACGGATGGACTCATGAGTGCATAAATTCGTTTTTATGTGATTGGCTTTTTTTTCAATTTCAATGATTCTTTCTGTCGATTATTCTATACATCTGTTTCAGTAACTTTATGACATAAACCTTAATCTTTGACCTGTTCTTTGTTTTCCTTCTGTTGATTGACCTATTTTATTTAATTAATTGATGCCCGATTGACCATAGCATCAATCTTCAAGAAAACGTTTGCATGCTCGAGATATATTCAACAAAATTAATTCTTACTTTCATAGTTATTGACTTGCTTATATTTGGATACTTATTCTAACTATAAGAAAGATGTCTTGAACTATTGATTATTTATATTTATACTAATCAAACAGATGATAAATATTTTTGTTTCCTGGTATTAAACTTAAATATATGCTTGTACGTATCTTTTGAATGTATGTGTTTATTAACATTTAAAAACTTTATGTTCTTCATCCCTTCCCTTATTGCTTTATGCCAGTTTACATTATCCATTAAAGCATTCTAGCTCTAGAACTGATTTCATTTATTACACGAATAATATACATCCTGATCAAATTTTTTAAGGATCTATTGTGTTAATTCCTTGTTTAAAGGAAATGCAGGGAGATCGCAGTTTGCTGACGTCTAATACAAAAGATTCCAGTATCAATACAACTGACAAATCATCTAAATTACTTCCACTTCCAAACGCAGACACACATATTTATGCCGGGACTGAAGATGGTGCTATAGTCTATGTTGACTGGATACCACACAAAGATCAAGACACTGGGAAAATGCAAACGCCCAAACCAGAATTTTGTTCTTCACGACATGATGGTCCAATTAGTTATCTTTGCCACTCACCGTTTGATTCTTCCCTAGTCTTAGCTATTGGTGGATGGATATGGACAATGTGGAAGGAAGGAGTTACCAGTGGACCGATTATAGAATCTGGTCGTGCAAATAAACCATTAACAGGTAGGTGACTTCTTTTTATCCGTCGTTGCGAATAAATAATGCTGCGACTCATTACCTTTATCCGATCTATATTCACGACATCCTCTGAGGAAAATTATATGACTTCCTGACTTTTCATAATTCCCTTCACTTTATTTATTTACATAAAGACATTATTTATCCGGTATATTTGCCGGAAAGTGCTTCCTGACTTAAATTGAATACATCCTGTGGATACAGATGCTCCAGAAATGAGGAGTATACATAATTCATCACGCTAATTGCATCGAAGCCTGAAACTAGTGGAGGCCTGAGGAATCCCAACTCCGATTCCGTTGGCTTTTATTATTATGATATTATTACGATAAATCGATGCATTAGATTCATTGTTTCAGTGGAAGTCTCAAAAAATTAATGCCCAATATCCTGATGTCTTTCTGGAAAATATAAATGCTGGATAGCTGCATTTTGATGAAACATTAGGTGAAAAAACCTTATAAAATTACTACACTTGCATTCTACGTTAGGAACGATTCAGATTTCTTCTGGAAACTTTACCAGCAATTTTTCAGCAAACAAGCTTAAAATATAGTTTCCGACTCTGATGGAAGTGAGAATCACGAACGGGAAAATATTGCCCGTCTGAGTTTTATTATTGTGTTATTGAGCGCTTCCAGCGACGAAGATGTTATTGGAAACAGGATGAATCTAGATTAGTACTAGATTGATTACTTGAGCTCATTGATATCAAAATGTCCGTCATCACATAAATTGTTGGTATTGATATCAATATTATTATAGAGTAGAAAATCTAAAGCACAGTCTGTTTAATATTATTCGATCAGTTTTAAACTTAATGGTCGTCGTTTTAGCTAAGGGGCCATTTAGATTCAATGTATTATTTGAATTAATCCACAATAAATGTAAAACTAAGAAGATATTCGATTGTAAAACAACTGAGAATTAGTAACTATGATAACAGTTATGCAAAACATGAATAGTTCAATTCTTTTTATCCTCAACTATTATCATTTAGTAATTAAATTTAATTCATATTTTTTTATATTTGTTCCACTTGAATTCCAGTAAAATGTGATGCTTCATAGAATTCATAATTGAAATAATTATTGTAGGGTATTGTCTTGTAATAGAGGCTAGCAGTCAAATTCAAAAAATGAGTTATTTCCTACTTGGGTCAATGCAAATCAAACTACTAGATTTATATTCAAAATAATATTCACTTTAAAAAATTCTTGATTATTACCCATCTTGATTATTATCCATCTTTGCTTATAATGCTTGTGAATTAAGGCTATATCGAGGCAATACGCACAGTATGCACATATGCCAATAATAGACTGACCAGTTGCAGTCCTAAGCATCAATGGGTAGATTCAAACAAAAAATACTAAGTGAATTATTTACATTAAGTTTGAGTCTGGATGGAAACATTAAAATGAGCATACAAATACAACTAGGAAGTCTTAAATAGGATGATACAAGGTGTTTAGTTTACACTACTAGTCATCATTCAAATTATTAGTAAACTTTAAATCCAACTAATTATTTGTTCCTTAGCTGAATTTATCAAGAGTGACTGATGGATTCATTTTGAAATATCAATAATCAAATCAGATAAACTAATTAAATAATAGTATTATTTCAGATTTATAGAATAATTAAATAATCAGATAGTTAGGTATTGGTTGGTAAATTCATCTTTATGCTAGCCAATAATATTTAAGATACTACCTCATAATACTATTATCATAAATCTTTCCTGAGGTTGACGGTTGTCGGCCTGGTAAATCAATGAGATTTTATGAAATCAATGATGTTTGTAAGTAACATATTTTGAAATTTGCAAACGATTAGATTGAATTAATTGGTACATCAAACTCACAGAAATAGTTTGATTGAGCTGAATAAGAACTCAGTGGTTCATACTTTTATCTTTCGTCAGTGGAACTGAATGATGTGTAATCTATCTATATTTTTTCTTTATTGCAGCTACGTAAAAATTGTTTGCTTTGATTGCACTAATTTACCAATATCATTAAAATGATACATTTAAATCAAATTAATGAAAATATTACCCTATGTTATTTATAAATACTTCTTATTCAAGGTGGTAGTTGGTCTCCTACACGTCCATCTGTATTTTATACATGTCGTGTTGATGGTAGTATAGAAGTTTGGGATTTGCTTGATAAAACTTATGAACCAACAATGATCCAGTCAATATCTGCAAATTCACTAACTGCTTTATCTATATGGGATTCACCTAAACGTCAATTTATAGCTACTGGTGATATTCAAGGAGTACTACAATTATTTATTGTGAGTTCAATTTAATTAGCAAACTATGTTTCACACTTTATTGAAATATAGAATTCATAATCAAAACTTAATGATTTGAAACCTTAACCTTTTTAACAAAAAATCTTTAATTCAATTAAAAGTTATTTAAGATGATAATAAAATATAGTTTTTGATCTTTTATTAAAATTTAGTCGTATTCAAAATAAACAGTGAAAAAATTTTCATGGTTGAAAGCGTGAGTCAATTGAAGCTAAACCACCATGGAAAACCTGGAAGCACTGGACGGCCGTTTTGTCCTATTGTGAGACTCCTTAGCAGTGCGCATCCACGATGTCGCCTCGCGAGATTCGAACCCAAGACCTATCAGTGTCACGTGAGAGCGCTTAATCTCTAGACCACTGAGTCGGCATCCAATGGTGTTATTGTCTAACTTGAACCAATCGTGGATGCGCACTGCTGAGGGTCCCACAATAGAAGGAAACGGCCGTCCAGTGCTTCCAGGTTTTCCATGGTGGTCCAGCTTCAATTGACTCACGTTTTCAACTATGAAAATACTAAATCTCCAAAAACAACCTGATAATAATAATCATATGCTCACTAGTGACTGACTTCGAGAAATAAATCCTGGAGTTCTAGTGAGAAGCAGTGACCAGTGGAGTTCAAACCACGTCTGTTGTGAGATAGGAACTCACTGAAGATATTTGGTGAACGGTTGCTCAACTACGTGGATTGGTTGGAGTTAGACATAAACACCATCGGTTGAGTGCTCCGGCTCGAGACTGGCAGGTCCTGGGTTCCAATCTCGCGAGGCGACATCGTGGATGCGCACTGCTAAGGAGTTCCACAATAGGACAAAACGGCCGTCCAGTGCTTCCAGGTTTTCCATGGTGGTCCAGCTTCAATTGACTCACGCTTTCAACTATGAAAATACTAAATCTCCACAAAAAAGCTTTTCTGATAATAGTGAAAAAATTATAAATTCATAGAGCACTTTTTATTTCTACTAATAGACTATTTCAGTGGTAATACTACTAAGCAACTTGATAGTTAACTATAAGATCAAAACATTTTAGAAAATTAATAGGGGTTAATAAGTTGTATTAAAAATAAAAATAAGTAATTGAACTGAAATGTAAACATGATATTAGTAGAGAATAGAGAATATATGATAAACAATGAAATGTTTTAGGGATTAGAAGAACTTCTGGATGAGTACACTTCATTTTAAACCTTATTGTCTAACAGTCCTTCAAACACTGAAATATACCAACTGAAATACGGATTATAAAGTTTCCATATGTCTATATGACTTGTACTGATAGTCAAGAAATTCATAGGCCGTTATCATATTTTCATCCTGTGCTTTTATGTTATTATTAAAAAGCTTTGTGAGGTATTTCATGTAATTTACAGTGCCTAAATTTGTCATTTTTAATAAATATGTGAATGTTATTTTATGTTATCCTTGTATTAAATAGTATATTTTTACGAATTATATGCCAGACATTTGAGGACAACATTAAAATAAGTCTAATACGGAAGAATGTGTTGAATGATAGTAATATTAAATACAGACGTAGTAATAAAAGTTACATAAAGTTACATAGAGGTCAACATCCAGTAAGAGACCACAGAGATCTATTTCAATTTGTGGATAAACACTCCAGAATTATTTTGGATGTTACACCGATTCTGAATCACAATAATTTGTTCTATTTCAAAAACGTTAATTATATTCAATGGACTTTTCTAAATTGCGCTTTTGTTTTTACTTCACTCCATACTTGGAAGGTGAAATACAAAACTCTACAATATGCTTTTTAATAAACATATAATGTGACAAAACGTTGTACGAGAGAAGTTAACCCAAAACTTCAGCTGTTGAAGATACTGTAGTGTTTTTACATAATAATAAATTCTTCGTACATAAATATGCTTTTAATTAATATATTTCAACACATTAAATTCACGTGTTCAAGGTCTTTTCCAGTCTTCAAGCTTTGGTTGAATCATAGCTACTAGGGTGCGATTACGCAGAAGTGGAAATTTTGTTGTAATAAATGGACACAATACCATTATTTCTTTCAGATATACAACTACTACACACATATATTCTGCAGTGTAAATAAAGAATAGGAAAAACTTAATAAAATGTTTTACTCTGAGAATTTCCTGCTGTACTAATCATAAATTATTGAATAAAGCGATTACTATTATTGTTAAATATGTTTATTGATATATACATTATACTGACTATAGGTACCTAGACGTTTAAAAACTCCTTTACCATCAGAACTAAAGAAATTCAATGAATACATTGAACGTGAAGTGAAAAGAAAAGAATTTGTTTCGATGCGTTGGAATTTAAGAGAGCAAGAAAAAATTGAACAAGAAGCGGAAAACAAAAGAAAAGCTGGTTTAGCACCAGCTGTTATGTTGAGCGACGAAGAAATCATTCAGAAAGAAAAAGTAAGTTAAAAACATAAATACTGTGTAATAATTGTGTTTAATTTTGTTTAAACTAATTTATTATTTAAGAAAATATTGAGGGTGTTTTAAGTTGTAACACTTTTCTCAATGCAAAATATAGTTTTCGACAATTTGATGCTTTATTTAATCATAAGAAGTCCATTAATAAAGTGTCTAGACCACTTTGCTTATCCTGAAGGTTTCGCGGCCAGACTATGATTTATAGACGAACCAAAAAGATTCAGGATAACAGGTCTTAAATTTTAGTGAGATGTTCATTCACCCGTTTGTCTAGATAGCGTTTTGGCATTTTAGCTGTTATCAGTTCGTAATGAAAACCATAAGTGTAATTTCAGACCCTAACCATTAATCTCAAATAATAATCCTTATTCTTAAAACTGTTTTATAGCCCTCATTTGGCCCTAGTATGTAGGTTGGCATTTTCAATGTCACCTTGGCGTCGCTCAAAAGTCGTCCATAAATTATAGTCTCACCGAGTTAATGAAACGTTTGCTTATTTATCTGAAGGTTCTATCTAATAGCTCATTCCATATTTTCTAAGGCTATGAAACAGCCTATGGAAGTCGAAAATACTGGGAGGTCGTATGCATTTGATCAAGGACGTCTTTAGAACTTTGACCGGATATGATGAGATTGAGAACAGGTTAGTACTGTAATTGTGCAGATGGGTTCAGATAGAAATGCGAAGTCAGTCAACATTGTTTTATAGAAACAAGGAGTATGAAGTAAATCATAAGACAAGTTTGAAACAGTTTAAATGAGTCCACTATTTAGTGGTGAAGAAAACTAGAAATGAAAGTCACACCAATTCTTATAAAATAGAGATTCACTGATGCGGAAGGCTTTTACCAAGTATACATAACACACAGATTGCTCAAAAACAATACTTCAAGAATCGCCTCGTCGAATCTTCTTAAAATGCGATTAGATGTACCCATAGTTGTGGAACCCAATAAAATAAGGTGAAACTTTTTAATTAAAGGAAAACTATGTTAACACATTAAAACTTATCTCAAGAAAATATGGAAAAATTGTGGTGATTTTGATGTATAGGTTTGTTAAGTTAATCTGGATTTTAGTTCAGCTAGACGCCTAAAATGAGAAGGGAAAAGTCTTACATTCTTATGTCATCCATGAAGAGATCAAAATCCAAAATATTTAAAAAGAGAATGAATAATATTATTAAGGATGTTCCTTTTAAACAGTTGTCATCATTTATATAACTTTCTAAAAACTGAGCGGTATCGAACGTCTGTTCTCTCACAGTGTCAAACTCTTCAGGAGTGTTCACACACAGCTCCACCAAAGATCAAAATCAATACCTTATGGTGTATCAAGGAGTAGACAACTTAAACTTTGTCATCTGAATCTTACGTCATCGGCGGAAGTATTGAAGGTCTTGAGTCTCATCTTTATTGTGATCGTGGGCTCTTAATGTTTGAGAGTCTCATACTGAAAAGCAATCAGTGTTTAATACCTACTGTGTTAACTGCTTCACAAATCAATCCATTAGGAAAATGATCTTCAACATAGATTATTATATGAAAACCTCTCAACTGAACTTATTAATTGTCTAAATATTAGATAACATATTTATTACAGTTAAAATTTATCAGATTTTTGTTTTACTTTGAACTTATACGATTGTTTAGCACCTAATTACTCCAATTTGTAGCACTGTATAAACCGAACAGCCAGTATTATATTCTGTCAGTAACCACAATAGGATAACGAAGTTTTAGATATAATCATACATGATTTTTAAATATTTTATAAATGATCAATTTATTGTACATATATTTATAATTTATCCTTTTTTATGAATATTCTAGTTGGAATATGAAAAGTACTTATCAGAAGAACATGTTTTCTTAAGATCATTAGGACTAGTTGAAGAGGAGGATTAGGAAGAATAAAAAATGTAAAAGAACATTCGTTTGTCTTTTACAAATATATAATCTTTCGAAACGATTTCTTTCACTTGAATATAATTAAATATATCGATTTTAATTAAATGTACTCTTTTCAACTAGTTGTTTTATTTAGGACTAATAGCAGATTAGTGAGGTTGTAACACGTGGAATCAGCAATCAGAAAAAGGCAGGACAGATCTGAAAGCACAACACAATGTTGATCGAGAACTTCACACGAAGAGATAACACGGAGTGGAAGTCACGAGTCTTTTATTTTTCTCAAAATCGAGATTCGCGGGGGAGAAGTATAGAGGGAAATGTCAGTTTACAAAGTGGTCTTATGAGTCATCCTGTAAGCTCAGTGTATATAGGGCTTGCCCTTCTTCCTCCAAAGAGTTTGTGCTTAGTCGCCCTGCAATACAAAGAAAATAGAATCTCTTTGCAACGTCATACATGGTGATTTCAACTCCGTTACAAGGTCATCTTTTGTATGCAGCGAAATTCTAGCTGTATATCAAACTTATTGTTTTAATTTTTACGAGATCGATATATTACCGAAATTGAATAATAAAAACTCGCTTGTGTAGTGGTGGTGCTGGTGGCAGCCGCATTACATTCACTATTGAATGGAATGTAATCGTAGGTGGAAAATCGAACTGATGATTTCTGAGTTCCGATATACACGTACATCTTTGCCTAAATCAACAATGCCGTTCAACACACGGAGGTAAGAGATAACTGAAGAGTCAGAAGCCCTACTGTTTACGTGCTGTATGCAATCTGTCGGCTAATAATAATCGCGGTAGTTTAATCGTGAGTACATCTTTTATTAAAGTGTTATAAGCTGCGGTGAATAATTATTGCATTTACTGTACAATTAAATATCTTATGTTATGTTTAATTCTGTTACAACAATACAGTCTCATACTGTGTACTTCGAATTCCAGTTCTTGGCTGTGTCTTGTCGAAGTTCGAGACCTACTAATTTCTGAAGTACTTGGTTAGCTCATTTCAGATTCACACAAACTAATCTGGTGATTTCTGCCAGCAATTAATTACTGAACCACAATTTTGTATACGTTCTGAAATCCATTTCTATTCTTAAATTTACCGTTTGATTTACATTATGTATTGTAATTTATCGTTGGATTTTGTTCACAAATCAATACACGCCTCATAATACAAATTTTCTGTCGTGACTTTTTTCCGGTTATTTATCACGTGATGAGGCCGCCAGAAAACAATTTATAAAATTTTAAATATATGCCGAGTCAATGACGTGTTGACCAGTTCGAGCAGTTCAGGTTTCTTATTGTTTCTTCTCGTCTAGCTTTGTCTGTTGAGTTCAGAACATCAATATCAGCTTCCACTGTTAATATTTCAGCCATGCTTGGTTTATATACAAGCAAACCAGACCACATCATATCAGTGAAAAAAATAACTATCATACAAGACCAAGCCAAAAAGTGGCTGTGATTGTGAGAGACTGTAAGTAATGAATTGAGAATAACTTAGGAGTAGTAAATCGTTTAATAGTGGTCAATAAGTCAAATAAAAGTTTATGATTAAAGAAATATAAATATATATGATCTAGTTACTTAGCAGATTTACGATAAGAATAAATATAACAACAGTTTATAAACAGTTCCCGAAAGTTGCCCATAATTTACTATTCTTAATATATAACGTCTTGATTGCTACAGATGTTCCTTGTCAGATGAAATAACACAGCAGGATAACAGTTTCTTGCCAGAATCTGATCCTATATCATATAATGATCAAAGCCACTTCTCAGACTGGTCAACTGACGATTGATCTGCATCCTGTCAAACTTTGATCCGGCAACCGAAGGTTGTCACAGCTAAAGAGTACCATAAGTAGTTCGTTTGTAGTTTGAGATTACTATCATTGGTTACTTCGCTATCAACCCCTAAATACTTAAAAAATACTAACGTTCAGGGACAGCACCTGGGTGGTTGTAGAAACTGTCGGTGGTATGTCCTAGCCTACAAGGTGTTTGTCTTTGTTGAATATGTGATAGTCATTTCTAACGAGCCAACTCAATTGTTTGAAATAAACTTCATCGAGGGCTAATGACTTTGCTGATAAATGAGCTATAATTTTACCATCCTTACGCATTCGGTTTTTATTCCTTGGATGTCAAACGGACTTTTTATTTAGTTTGCTTCCTGTGGTAACAAAAGGTGCATGTTCTTAAGATTGAGTGGTTTTTCTTTGCAGTTGAATTTCGATTAATGCGTAATAAATCTAGAAATATGTTACCTGACAACCAAGTAGTTAACAAAAGCAGTGTTTTTCATGGAAGTGAATGTATTCAAGCATTACAGGACGGAGGGGACCTCCAAAAGTTATAATAGTTCTTTGGGATGAGGGAAGCTTATTTTAATTAGTTGAGGTTTAAATGTCTGTAAAGGGCTTAGGACGATTATCGTTATGTATAATCTTATTTGTTATACTAGACTAATATACCTGGCATACTATGGCTGACTCATCTTGATTTGACTGCCTGACATATATGATCCAATATAAAGTTCACATATTTGTCTATCCGGACTAGTCCTGCAGTCGAATTCAGAGATACTCTTATCAATGACCCCTTCGACTAGGCTGACGACTAGACGACTACCTTAGAACATCGAATCACGTCATGTACATCAGTTTCTGAGACACATGTTGATCTTGTCAATGATGCTTGTCTTATCAAACCTTAAAGTGGATTGGTATCTACTCACCGTTGATTGATTGACTTGCGTTTACTTCAATTGATGACTATTTCGTGTTTTTCTTCATAGCTGCGTACAGGTGTTCTAGTGCAATCCACGTGGTTCATTATTAGGTCTTTGGATTCACTCAATGTATAAGTATAACTTTTCATAGCAAGTATTTTCTGAGATATTGCTTTTTTGATGGTATAAATTGTTGGACAGAAGTTTGATAATACAGTGATAGACTAGTATATCTAGAGAACATCGTTCGACGTCAAGCTTAGGTGGACAATAACGGACTGGATTTCAACTGCAAATAGTGTAAAACAATCAGGGAGTTTGAGTTAGCAAAATAGATGTTAATTTTTTTTATGTGTTCTGTTTGCAGAGTATCTACATCGTCAAATAATTCTCAGTCCTCATAGTTACCGTCAGTTTCAGTGAAAACACTGTCAGGTAAAGGGCTTACTTTGTAGGATTGTTTTTCGTCGCGCGAGAGATAATATTGAAGAATCGAAGCATGTACTCTAACTACTATAGAATATCCACTTTTCCATTAAAATTTATAAACCGATAAAAGGATTGTAATATATCGATATTAATCTTCCTTCCAGAACCTGGGAAAGTGCAAAAATCTCCACACTCTTGCGGCTTAGTCTAGATAGGTGTGACTCACAGGGCTGAACATATTATTTTTGTTTCTTCTTGTGTTTCAATTTAATGGACCTTTCAGTCTTCGTATAACTGCTTTCAAACAAAAGTTTATAGCCAGATTGACTGAAATGTAATACGTTAATAAATCGAATGGTTCTGACAAGCTCTCATCACAAATTTCACTATCCATGCTTGCTAACAAGATATTTTTCGGAGGTAAATAAATCCCCGACACAAACAGTGTCGTTGAGATTGATACTGACGACAACAGTTTTGCAAAACTATCCCAGCATGAGGCACTCGGCCAAGCATCTATTGTGATGTTTAAATAAATCAATGACTTCTTAGTATTTATGACTGTTGTAATTTTGGAATTCCAAATACAATACATTCGTTCGAGTTCATCTGATACTTCTTGATTAAATTGCGTTATTCCTGGGATTACTAGTTCATACTACAATTCAAATACTTCTAATTATCATATTGGCGTCGCGACTGAGCCTGTGATGGAACGGGTAAATATAAATTCAGATTTTAATGCTTTTGAGGAGTACATGGAAAGGTTCGAAATCTGGGCTATGACCAAGGAAGATGATGAGGATTTTAATATTGTGGCCCGTTTCCTTACATTCATCGGGAAAGAAGCATACAGCCTTATAAAGATTTTGGCACTTCCAGACAAACCGATTTCACTCCCCTATGCAACTCTCAAGCAACTTCTGTTGGATCATGTAAAGTATACAAATTCCGAATGCGGTAAGAAAGGAAAATCCGATAAAATGACTCGTCAGAACATCAGGAATTCCACTTATTCAAACAGTCGTCGTAGTTCGATGCGTACTCAAATTTATTCAGATAATACTTCATTGAGTTGTGAAACAGTCCATGATGATGAGCACAAGTTTAGTAAATGCATGTTCTGCGGCAAGTTTCACCCATGTAATTCATGTATATTTCGTAATTCTAAATGCTTTAAATGTGGTATAACTGGACATATTCAGTCAGTTTGTAATACCATGGTTCATTTCGCTGAAAGTAATGCTAAGATGGATGCTTCTAATGATCAGTTATCTTTATCTAGAAGAGGTATAACGTTATATAACAGTTCAGAGTTGAATGAAACCCAGAGTCATTGGGAGGCGAAAATTCTCAACCAATCAACTTATCAGATTTCTCATGTTATTGTGCCAGATATGGTTTGTCGTAATAATTCACATACTTCTGATGTAATTTCTTACAACTCTGAGAATAGAATGTTAAATGAGTCAAATCATGATCAAAAACCAAATTCAGTCATGGTAGATGTTGAATTCCCTGATGATCCATTACCTAATGAAACTCTTAATCAATTTGAGGAAAATATTTCAGAAGAATCGAATTCTGATATCATATCAAGTGTCAGTGGTCCTCATAATGAATTTATCTCTAATGATATTCCTCATGAATGTGGAAAATATGTTTCTTATGAGTTGAATTCTAGTCATATTTCTGATGTTATTGTGTCATATGTTGGATACTCTCACGAACAATGCATATTGAATAGAATCCCTAGTCAGGGGTATAATGATACAGAGGGGATAGCAAAATTTTCCGAAGCAACCAGAGAACCAGTTTGCCCAGAAGTGAAGTTTGCACAGACAGAGAATCCAAATCAAGTCCAAGATTATCCTAATGAATATGAGGCAGATGAATGTTTTCTATCCGATTGTTTCGCAGGTAAATCAAGCCTAATTGAATCACGTGTGTTAATTACATATATCAATGTATATCCATCTGTGTATTCTAATATGAATAACAAAAAGAATATGTATCATGATTTTTATTCAAGTCAAAGTCACATGATGGAATACCTCAAATCATATATCAGTGTTTATTCCCAAATACTGACATACAGTAGTCGGTGCGTAAGATTTGAGATAATGCAAATTGGGAACGTCATATTGGCTAAAACATTGCGAATCAAGGACCCAACATTATTTCGTGGGGGAGGATATTGTTGGAAAGTCCATGATGCAAATTCTAAATATCAATGGTTTCACTACACAACCGACATGCTGATTGTATACAATTCTAGAACCCAGGTGAGTCTGTTCCAATTTCCGTTGTTAATTCTAATACTAATGAGTGCATTCTAGATAATACAGAGTGTACATTCAATACACCATCGGACAGATGTAGGATGAACTTAAGAAGAAGACAAACAATCGATTACAGACACTTACACTTCAATTCGAGCTGTGGCGGATGTGATGTTTAAATAAATCAATGACTTCTTAGTATTTATGACTGTTGTAATTTTGGAATTCCAAATACAATACATTCGTTCGAGTTCATCTGATACTTCTTGATTAAATTGCGTTATTCCTGGGATTACTAGTTCATACTACAATTCAAATACTTCTAATTATCATAATCTATACCAAATCACTCTTGAATGCACCATTCAACACATCTCTCACTTCAACTGGTCAGCTCTAATTATTCACTTCTAGACTCATTTTTCATTTCTCTTAAATACCTTCGCATCACTTAAATCCGACTCCAGGTTTGTCTGGTTTTCGAATAATCGGATAATAAGACGTAATGGATGGCAGCGTTGTCGATAATTATATCTGTGGAACTCCTCTGTTGTCATGCATTTATCGGCATTTCTTTTATTTTTACCTGATACACACACCTCGGTAAAACGGAAGTCATTGGTGCTCGATTGCTACTAGATACAGTTGCTCGTTAACAGGAATCTTCATATAATTCGCCCAAAACCATTTGATGTGCATTGGGATCATGAGGCAGTCTGAGTTGAACTTGAAGCACGCAAATGCTGGATGTCTGTCTTATCCTCGAATGTGACTCAACAGCGCCTATACGCGGCTCTGAGCACAGAACTCCAAACCAGCACCTGTCAAACGCTTAAATGCTAAACCTTTAAGTTGATATTCGGAGACGTTAATATCTTACCTGAACAACTAGTGGTTCAACTTCGGTAGGTTCTTGATTTCCATGAAATTTAATAATCTGCTCAACCCTATAAAGAAATAATAAGGTTATTGTACATAGAATATTTAGCGCTTGTACTTGTGTTAACGTTACGGCTAGTAGTACAAGTGCGATGGTCCGTGGGGTTTTTGTCTGTGTTGCCGCAGGAGCTGGAATTATTTTTGCAGGGTATTGTCTTTATTTTGACAGAAAAAGACGGAGTCACCCGGATTTTTGGAAAAATCTCAGAAAGAGTAAGTTAACTTGATTAAATAATATGTTGAAATAGAAAGGATGGAACAAAAGGCTCTGGAAGCTCAGAAGTCATCCTCTTTTCCATTGCCACCTATAAATGACCAGGCTGGAATGCAGAGATTTTTTCTACAACAAATACAACAAGGAGAGACAGCCCTGAGCATGGGCTCTTTAGATGAAGGCGTCAACCATTTTGCTATTGCGGTTGCTGTTTGCGGTCAACCTAATCAGTTACTACAGGTTCTCCAACAGTCACTTAGCCCAACTGTGTTTCTAAGACTTATTGAAATCCTTCCTTCAGTGCAATCTGTGAGTCGCTTGCTGTGTGTTTTCGTCCACCTTTACTACCAGTGTCACAAACTATTTTCCGTTAGTTTTACAAGACTGTTTAGAGTCCTTTTGTTTATTAATAAAAAGTCGTCGTTTTACAGCATGTTTCGGCTCATTCGGTACTGTTTTCGGATGCCGAAATGAATCTAAAGCGAGATATTTCTCTATCGGTTAAAAATCGAGTATACTTTGCGGCAGTTCATTCTGTTCTAACTTACGGCTGCGAAATATAACCATTAAGGGTAGACCACACTTGTAAGTTACTAGTATATGGTCACAGATATCTTAGAAATATTGCTCGCATCTGCTGGTGTCATTAGGTATGTAATAGCGAGGTTAGACGCACGGTATCTGGGATTGATGGTAAGTCAGTTGATGAGGTAAATATTCGACTGAGATGGTTGGGCCACATGTTACATTTGCCTGAACACCAATTGCCGCGACGCGCAACGCTGACTAGTGTTGAAGACGGATGGAGGAAAGTTAGGGGTGGCCAAACCAAAACATGGCATCAGTGCTTGAAGTCAACTTCTGGTGTGACCCATGTTGGTAGATCAGTTTCAGTTTGGAAAGGACAAGAGGCTTGATGGCCTGTGTTAGTCCTGGCAATGATGGTCTCTCAGCTGATTCAGCTTTCTTTTGAAGGAGTCGACGGATGGAGCCTCAACCACGTGCTGAGGTAATGAATTCCACTCGTTGATTATTCGATGGGAAAGTCGGTAGTCAGCTGGCAAGTAATTCGTTCGGGGCTTGTGAACTTTATTGGAGTATCCTTGAGAATTTCCTGTTTTGGAAAACAAGAAAAATGAGGGCATATCTGGTGCAAATTTGTCATTTAGCAATTTGAAAACTGTAATCAAGTCGCCTCTGATTCTTCTATATGACAGCGGGAATAGGTTTAGCTTGGTCAGTCTAGTACTATACAGGAGCTTCGCTATTCCGGGAATCAGCCTAGTTGCTGTTCTCTGAACCCTTTCCAAGAGTTCACTGTCTTTTTTTAGGCAGGGGCTAGCTGCTTGTATACAGTACTCAAGATTAGGGCATACGAACACTGTATACAAAGTCAGAAACGTTTTTAGCGTCAAGATGCCTAAAAGCCCTGCGTATGGACCATAAAGTCCTAAAACCTTTGGCGGCTATTGCACGGCAGTGTGCAGTAGTCTTTAAGTCTTGACTGACGATGACGCCTAAGTCATTGTGTGCCTGAACAATAGGTAACTCAGTGTTATTCATCATGTATGTATCTGTACCCTGGTGGCCAATATGCATCACAATACACTTGGAAGTGTTTATCGGCAATTGCCAGGTTTGGGACCATTCAGATAATCTCTCCAGGTCATTTTGAAGTTCTAAGCTATCGCCCTTGCTTTGTATCGCTCTCCATATCTTGACATCATCAGCATAGAGTAAGACCAATGACGATAATAGAAGAGGGAGATCATTTACGTACAGGAGGAATAACACTGGCCCCAAAACTGTACTTTGGGGGACTCCACTAAGCACAGTTTCCCAGCTAGACAACTCGGAGTTCACCCTTACTCTTTGTTGACACCCAACTAGGAAGTCTTTTATCCACATCAATAGATTGCCTCCAATCCCGACATTCCTTAGCTTATATAACAGTCGGTTGTGCGGAACTTTGTCTAAAGCTTTGCTGAAATCGATGTAAGCTACGTCTTTAGGTAATTTTTTGTCCTTAAGAGCGCACCAGCTTTCACGAGCGACTAATAAGTTTGTGAGACAAGAGTAACCTGTTCTAAAACCATGCTGCTTTTCGGAGAGGATCCGGTTTTCATCGAGATACTTTAACAGTTCCTTCCGAATAATCTTTTCTAAGATTTTAACAACCACACTAGTTAGGCTAATTGGTCGGTAATTCTCAGGCTTATGTTTTGTACCTGTTTTGAAGACTGGACTTACTATGGCGTTCTTCTAGTCTTTTGGTAGACGACCCTGGGTTACGGATAGATTAAAACATACACTTAAAGGTTTCGCAAGAAAGTTAGCTAATTCCTTTAGTAACCTAGGATGCAGTTCATCGGGTCCAGTGGATTTACCTATGTCAAGCTTAACTAGCAGACCAAAGACATCGAGTTCTTTAATGGTTACGCTGTCCAGTTCTTGTGTGGGGGGATTTTCATGGACTGGTGAGAAGGGTGTTTCTATGGTGTATACATCGCTAAAGTATTTAGAGAATACTTGAGCTTTGCCAAAGTCGTCCTCCACTAGTGATGTGGCAGTACTGTCTCCCCATAGTGAAGGAACATTTCTTCTTTTTGTCCTTTGGTTTATATACGAATACAAGCGTTTAGGGCATTCTATGGATTCCCTAACGATTTTCTCTTCGTACAGCTTTCTGGCCTTACGGAGGGTTGACGCACAGGTATTTCGAGCCTTTTGATACTGAGATTTTGCCTCGTCAGTCCCCAGTAACCTAAATCTGTCCCACATTTTCCTACTTTTACGGAGAAGGATGCGAACCTCCCTACTGAACCACGGTGGGGAGTTTCTCGGTCTCTTAGGTGTAGTCCAAGGGATGTGGGGGGCGGTAACTTTTAAGTATAAATTCCGGAATACGTCCAAAGCCGTTTCGATTGATGACTCTGGGTCTATTTTCCAATCTACTGATGATGCTGATTTCATGATGTCTGATATGTTTGCTTTCCAGACGTTAGGTCTGGATTGAGCTGAAGCGTACTCGTGATCGACAGTTATATGTAAGTCAAAGCGTAAAACTGCATGATCACTTTTGCCTAGGGGTGGCATGTAATCCAGGTTTGCAACATCATCCTCATAATGAGTCAATATAAGATCTAGTAAGGATGATGCGGAACCCGGGTCGTACCTAGTTGCTTCCTTCACGTGTTGCACTAGGGCACATGTGATTACCGCATCAACTAGTTCCTGTTCGAAGGAATTTGCTGACGATTCCGTCCGCAGATTTCCCCAGTCCACCATGGGTGCATTAAAGTCCCCTAGGATTAGACATCGATCACTTCGTGATAAAGTGTTGAGACTGCTTAGCAGGACCTCGTTTGCCTCACAGCTTGGACTGCGATAGATCAAACTAAGCAGCAACTCTTGTCCCTTGCATTTCAGGCGGCAGCTATTTAATTCATACGTCCCACTCTCATGGGATACACTGTCGATAATGGTGAATGGAATAGCATTCCTAATGAAAAGAGCTACTCCCCCTCCTTTACGCGTTTGTGTTCTATCGGCTCTTACCAATAAAAAAGCCTCGAAATCAAGTTCCCTACTATCTATAGACGGCGTCAGCCATGTTTCTGTGACTGCGATTATGTCTGGCCTAGTTGAGTCAATCTGTACACCTAGTTCCGGTAGCTTATTTAGTAAGCTCCGGGCGTTGGTATAACAGATCTGAATCCTATTTAGGTGGCCTCGTGCTTCACCCAGAGTGGCTTCGGCATCATCCTCTGTCGAAGCCTCACAACCCGAAAATTTATAATTTTCAGGTTTTTTTCGCCAGCGTCTAATCTGAGCTGTAGTTCCTTTTCGGCTTCCCGTCTTTTAACACGGTCCGCCAACGGTAAGTCCTTGCGGAGAAAAACTCCTGAACCCTTTAATTTGTGTCCATTTTCGGCTTCCCGTCTTTTAACACGGTCCGCCAACGGTAAGTCCTTACGGAGAAAAACTCCTGAACCCTTTAATTTGTGTCCATTTTCTAAGATTAAGTCGCGTTCGTTTGGGGATTTGAAAACGACTTTGAGTAGTCTAGACTGATTTGGTTTCAGATGCGCTAGATTTCCTAGTCTATACACCTTTAGCAAGGTGACTCCGGGGATGCTTTTGGGCATAACTTGGTTGAGTGGTTGTTTTATCAACACAATGTCATGCTCAAAACGAGCTTTCGGTTCTAAGCTGTCACTCTCCTTGACTCTATGGAGAATGACTGATCTGTCGCTGTGATCAGACCTCGGCTTGTCGATCCTTTTGGTGGGGGTATGATTTCCTTTTACGTCATTTTGGCTTTTTTTTCTTACGATCCGTACCCAATCGCCAACGTTCTTTGGAGTGGTAACCACAGTCGTGTCAGGCGTTCTGTGGGATTCCGGTAGGTTCAGGACGACTTGGGAGATTGGGTCATCTTTCGTGCTGGAAACCGATCGAGCCTTGCGGTTTCGGCTTCCGGAAGTTCCCTTCTGGGTACCATTTTTGATACGAGGGACAGAAGAGTTTTTTTGCGCGAGTTTCTGGTTTTGACAGACCTCTTTGGAGGATGTTCTTCCTCAGTAGAGTGTGGGTCGGCAGTTTTTGGACTCACTTAGGCCTGCCTTGTGTCAATCTGCGTGTCGACAGATTGAGTTCTGACTGATGTATCCCGACTGCGCTTGCCGAGACACTTTTTTGCGGCATTTACTATTGAGATGGCCTCGGTTAACAGGCTATTTGCATCCAAACAGCACTGTTGACATAGCCATACGCACCCATTTTTACTGAACCGCTTGAAAGCTGCAGGTGTTATATTCGTGCAAACATCGTGGTACCAACCTTTGCACTCATCGCACTGCATGCGGCTATCAACAGGATATCGACATCCTGGGCGCTGGCAAATGCTTTTGTTGCATCTTTCAGTCATTTTAGGATGCGAAAGTGAGTGTTGACTACAAGTAGAAAAAAACTATAAATAGTTAGGACCAAAGTACTAGCAGACACGGTAGAAAAACAAAGGTACTCTGGAGTACCGACGATAAAACTATTTAGGATACCAAAAATGATACTCTAATAGAATACTTTAACTGAAAGAAATTCAATCAAAGTATAAAAACAGTAGTCTTGATACGTTAATAACGATCAAAACAATAGAATTTACTCGAGGAAAAATACCACTGTCCTTTTTAAATAGCGCGCACAAATGTGCAGAATACTTGGTTGGGGTCCACGCTCTATCGTAAACAGTGGTTGTGGAGACTCTGTGTGACATGGGGCAGATTCAATCACAATGGCGCAAGTGTATACACTCTTTATTTTCTCTTAAACTTTGAGATGAAAATTACTCTATACCTTTCATTCCACGAACCAATTCGTTCCTGTATTATTTCCTTACATGCAGTATTTCTTGTATATATTACTACCATTGAAATAACTAATGTAAATTTGGTGTTCGTTTGTGCTAATGCGGTGTGGCAACTTGGACCGACGCATAAATGTGCCTGGTCCTACATTATAGCTGATTGAGTTCCAGTGTTATGGTGGAAGGCTTGGAGTACGGGGAGTTTGTTCTTGTAACAAAGTTATTGAATACGAGCAGCTCTGGAGAATTCACTGACCTAAATCGTGACATCCGAGTGAAAACCCATTATTAGACTGTGGCATAGGTCGTTCAGTGATGCACTATGAAACGATCTATCCGACTATTCGATTTGCTTTCTACCAACCACCATTCAAAAGTCATTACTCCAAGACAAGTAATGTGCAAGATGTTGCTTCGTTCACATTTTAGTATAATATTGTTAATGCCTAAGCAAAGGGATAAGTATCCCCGTTCTGCACTTGTACTCTCAGGTTCTTGCCTTTGAAATAATTTATTGCATATTATAAATTTATAATTTAATTCCACCTCAATCGAATCAAAACAGTCTGATTTTTACGCTTATTTCGTATTGTCACGAGCTTGCCATGGTGATTTGCCCTTCTAAATTTTGTTTAGAAACTCCGGAACTTTGCAATTTCACCGTTGAGTTTCATCATGACACAAGTGGTTGATAAAAAAACAATATATAATTGACTCTGGGATTTCGCCCAAATCACTTTCAACTGTGAGCCAGTTAATTTACTCGTAGATCAGGTAGTGTATATAACAAGATAGTCGATCATAACTGTCGTTCATGAGATCCTATAATTACTAAATCTGTAAAGCACAGCTAAGTAAATTGCGGTTTCGACACCTCTATTTGGAAGTAGGGTTAGACATTTCTATTACATTGTCTCCGTACATAAGTTGCTATTACTGATCATCTATCTACATGTCAGTGTGTTATCTGAGTTTTAGTCAGTTTATCTTTTGATAATAGGATAGTGAGATAATCTGTTCATGTTTGTTAGGAGTGAGAAAGTTTTATGCAACTTGACGTCAGATCTAAGTGAATTTTTCACAGCTTCATTGATAGAGAAATGTTGGTTCGTTGAGTCAACTTTTCCCCATAAATTTTTGTTGCCGCAATGAGTAACCTTTTCCGTGGGATACATTCAGAATACTTTATTTTTTTGAATTTTCAGAAATACAAGACAATGATTGCTAATCGTACATCATCAGCACAAGAAATCGAAGAAGACTTGGAATAAAAATATTTTGAATTGTTAGTGTACAATTTGACTTCAAAAAATATATTAGTTTTTTGTATTACTGGTTCTCAGTAGTAAGATAGTTTTTGATTATAACCGGTTTGTTTTGATTTTCAGTTATTGCTAACTGGACTTATCATTATTCTGTTGTCACATAAATCGCAAGCTGACTTAGATCCCTATGATATGTTTGGAGGGCTTCCCATGGACCAAGAACAGAGTGTGTCAGCTCTGCGAAGCATGGATTCTTTTTCGACTCCCACCAATTCATCGAATTTTCTAGCTGCTAACCATCATCAAGAACTGCACAAAATTCTTGTCCGAACTCTGTGGCGGAATATCAACCCAAGGAATTTACCAAATATTCCATCGAAAACCCCAATTAAAGTTCAGTTGGAGTTTGTATTGCAAGAGAAAGATATATATATATTAAGCAAGTACTGTAATTTAAATAACGACTCTGAAAACCGTGTATCACCTGACTTAATAAACGATATTTTTTCAGAAATTGTTCGCCCGGTTGCTATTTCGGACAATCCATATTTGTTTCAGTGGTTCGTTAATACACCGTCCTTCTGGATGCTTTCATTGTCTTGTACCATTGCTTTTGTCTGGTTGCTAGTGATCATTTTCCGCTCTCGATACATATTATTCACGCTACTTCCTTGTGGGTTGTGTATCCTAATATTTTGTCAATCAGTTTACACAAAATACAATGCACGATTGGCTCGAAAAATGTCTGTCCTATCTCGGCATAATGGTCCTCCTGATGATTGCAAACCTCTCCGTCACCAAACTTGGTCACAAGTGCTTGGTAATTATTTCTCCTCTCGTCCAGCGAACGACGAATGTGCGCATTACTATGAAGAATTGCTGTCGGAGCCGTTTCTATCCACCAGTTTGTACGAAATATGTCTGGAACTAATAAGTCAACCAGTTATCTCATTATGTAAAAGTTTGGGTATTGGGATTGGACAATTATATCACAATTTGTCCGAATATGTCCCATTTTGGATTGCACCATTCATCTGTGCATTCTGTATGTTTATGGGAGTTTTCGCCTTTGTTAAATCAATACACCGTTTTACTGGGCCTCCATCACGCAGTCGCCGAGTGCGACACAAAATCAAATCGTCATCAACACCATCAATTACTTCTTGATGTTCGATACGAGTTTCCGATTTTACTTTACCTTACATTTTTCTGTGAATTTTGAGTAGTGAATTTGTATTTCCTTTTATTTCTATTCAAATAAACGATTACTCAATTCATTTTACTGTATTAGTTTAGTTGAAACAAAAGAGGCAGTTTTAGGTCTAATTAATTCAGTTGTTTGTGTAATATACGGTAATTTTATATTAAACTACCAGCATGTACCTATCACTAGCACCATAATGTAGTCTGGTCATCCTACGGACTTTTGTAACAACTTGCTTTCACTCTTGGATAGTCATTGTTAACGCCTCCAGCTCGAAGAATGTTATCTACAAATTCATGAATTTAAAACAATTTTTTGCTAACCTTCCATACACTTTCAAATCGACCAACTGACCGAACTATCCAAGTCTCTAATTCTTTCATAAATCTACCGTATATGTTTATCAAACCGCCATACAGGAGTAATTTTATTTGATATCGCTTGGTCCACATAAATAAGGTTCAGTTGTTACTCGTCATTCTATACCAGCTAACATTAAATGAGACAAAAAGGTGCTGGTGATGACCAGAGTGTAAGGTGTTTTAAATCATGTGATTTTAAGCAGTTTCACCAGCGCAAATTGATGTTCTTCAGGGTCTTAGGCATTGAGTGGCTGTTTGACAAGCGTAGTGGTATGAGATTTGGTTCTTTAGTAAAAGGGGATAGTTGTAGTCCAAGAGATTTAAATTATGGAAATCAGTAGGTACCGAATTAAATATTGGTTTTCGTTACTAATAGGTACGTCGTCAAAACAGTCCGAGGATTAAATAGGAATAATATATTTGTAAAACCTCAGCGAGGATATTTCAGGGCATAATAATTGATAAAAATAATATTAAGCCATTCGAAGACATATTTGACCGTACATTTTATGAGCGTCTTCAAGGTAAGCTGTTTTAAAATCTATTTGTCGAATTATCATCGCATTACGGTCTATGAAGTGTAACAATTATTGTAAAAGTAGACTTATAAATAGTATATAGATGTCAAACTGAGCTAAATACTGGGCTGTACGTTTATGTATCCAGAAGTAGCTCCTTTAACAAATCTAAATTTTTTCAAAGTAAATTAGAAACTTGTTTGAAAAACAGAAATACCTTTGATTAAGTAAATTGGATTAATATTGACACTTTTATTCATATGATCATCTGGGTAATTTAAACTTTATATATCTAAGTGACTATAAGCACACTTGAAGGATAGAGGAATTTTATAATAATTTCTGACTCAAAAACTTAAATGACAAATATAACGATTGGCGATATGGGTTTTATGGATCACAGTTACTGCTGTTTAAATATTTCTTACATGTGTATTCCCACTTTAGTTACAGTAACACCAGATCAGCTAACGACAGCCAACTTTGTTCTTTCCACATCAGTCAGTCAGCTACAACGCAGGACCAGGCACATTTATGGTTCGGTCCAAGTTGCTGTACCTTAATAGCACAACAAGATGAACACCGGATTTATAGAAATAGTTAATTTAGTGGTGGTAGTATATAAAAGATAGGTTGTATATAAGGATATAGTATAGGAAGGAAGAACGTTATGAAGCAATTTCGATCTTAAGGTTTAAGGGAAGATAAAGAGTGTATACACCTACGCCATTGTGATCGATTCTGAGCCATGTCATCTAGAGTCTCCAACCATTGGTTACGATAGTCACGTGGACTTCAACCAGGTAGTCTGCATCTGCCAACATGGCTCAGACTAGAAGTTAGTGACTTCAAGCACTGATGCCACATCAATATTAACATAGGGACTTTGTATTGAAGTTAGATAGTTACGTTGTTCAGTTAGCCAGAATTTTGTTGTTATTATTATTAACTTTATTCAATATTATATTTTTGGTACAATATAGAATTCTTAACACAAAGTATTTCAACGAGTTTCTTGATCGATATTGACGATAAATATTGAGCGATCGCCAGTTAGATGTTAGCATTTCAGAAATCGACATCATTCTTTTCACTCCATATTAATAATAATAATTTATTCTGAAAATAATATATACAGAATTCACACCAGTTTACAGGCATGATCAGATTGTTATAAAAATCAACATTTAATGTAGTGAGCAAACATGAAATATAAGAAAGTTTTATGTTTGCTGGTTTGGTAATTGATAAATAGTTTATATATGGAAAGCCAATGCAACACCAGGGAACTTGTCATTTTTTCATCAAGTGGATAGCCTGATGATTAATCAACGTTGTTCTGTAAGGTTATTTCCAGTGTCAGAGCGTGTTATTGATAATTATCTACAACTAGAGAAAGTAAGATAAAAGCAAAGAGCACGGAACAACAAAACAATGATAGCAAGTAAGAGGTTAATCACTTAAAGTTCCGATAATCTCACTTGTGGAGTAAGATACACTTGCACGCGCTGGAGCATTTAATGCATTTTCAGGGAAGCAAAAGGCATTAATTGAGCGAACAAACATTGGGAGAGAGTTTAACATACGGACAGTTTGAGGTAGATTATTCCAGAGCCTAGAAAACTTACAGGTAAAGTAATTCATATAGAGAGAAGATCTAGAATATGTTTGTTTCGCTAAAGACAAGGAGTTACGAATGTCGTAATGTGAGGCTTTAGCATATTGAATCGCCTGGCTGGATGTGAAGGAGAGTTTGTTTAGTATTTTGAAAAAGAAGATAAGGTTAAGTTTGAGTCTCCTCTTCCATAAAGGGTCAAGCCCTAGTTTACTACACCTCGAGTTATATGTCAAGACACTATCAGTTCCAAGAGTACGATGTGTAAATCGTCTCTGTACTGATTTCAGTCTTAATTTATCCTTTATGCGTGTGCTACTAAGGAGAAACGAGCAGTATTCGACGAGTGGTCGAACACAGACTTTGTACATTAGAATACGAGATTCGCTGTTATGAAGGTTTCCAGTTATTTAACCTATAAGGCGTTGAGATTTGGACGTTTGTTTCATTATCTGTTCATTAAACGACAATCACGATGTCTCCGATTGTACATTTTTGTAAGTGAGTAGGTTATGCAATTAACTGATATAATGATTTGTTAAAACAAACAAAGAAACAGAAAACTAGTTGAAATATCTACATGGCAGGACCAGGTATTCAATTTAATTATCCTATTATTTGAATAAGGCGAGGTGTAAGTAAGTAAGTTAGTTGCCTGATTGTTTATTTCTCGTTTCAGATTAGTGTGGATTAATTGTATTTGTTGGAAGAATGTGATTCTTAAGGATAGGATTCGTTGGATTTTGAAATGAATTTGGTGTTGGTAATGGTAGTGTAAGTGGTGGGTAACTGAGTGATTAGTTAGTATATTGTTGTTGATTGTTAACTATGCAAACGTGTGGTTATTTTTACCTGGTTGAGTATTTCGCGGCATAACACACAGAAATACATACCTGTACACCAAACACCATAATTCTACGAATACGCCTTCCATTTCTCCGTGATCATCACAACACCCAACACTCACTATCCACATGAAAACCTAAATCTCACTAGTGGAAATATACACACAGAGAGAAAACATTCCACAATACCCATTCACATAGGCACTCACTTACTTACTCACTTACTTACTTACTTAATTACTCACACACTCACTCACAGTCCACAAACCCACAGACTTCAGTTCTCCTGTCAAAGCATTAACATGTCTCAAAGCTTACTTGTTGATCCACTACTGCTCGTACACTGATCACAACACCTTCTCCTCAAATACAACAAACATCTCCATTCCTACAATCATCGCACAGACTAGTGATTCCATCATTGTTCATTGCAAATTCATCACCTATCATCCACAGCTCGCCTTGTCCACTAACTCTATCACAGGAAAGAAATAACCACACATTTGCATAGTTAACAATCAACAACAATATACTAACTAGTCACTCAGTTAACCACCACTAACACCACCATCACCAACTTCAAATTCATTTCAAAATCCAACGAATCCTATCCGTAGGAATCACATTCTTCCAACTAATTCAAGCGTCTATAATACAATTAATTCACACTAATCTAAAACGAGAAATAAACACTCAGGCAACTAACACCCTACAATAATTAATATCATCATCTATTATAATATTATTACGAGTCAACATTTGTGACATACCTGATTGAGTCTTTCGCGGCATAACACACAGAAATACATACCTGTACACCAAACACCATAATTCTACGAATACTCCTTCCATTTCTCCGTGATCATCACAACACCCAACACTCACTATCCACATGAAAACCTAAATCTCACTAGTGGAAATATACACACAGAGAGAAAACATTCCACAATACCCATTCACATAGGCACTCACTTACTTACTCACTTACTTACTTACTTAATTACTCACACACTCACTCACAGTCCACAAACCCACAGACTTCAGTTCTCCTGTCAAAGCATTAACATGTCTCAAAGCTTACTTGTTGATCCACTACTGCTCGTACACTGATCACAACACCTTCTCCTCAAATACAACAAACATCTCCATTCCTACAATCATCGCACAGACTAGTGATTACATCATTGTTCATTGCAAATTCATCACCTATCATCCACAGCTCGCCTTGTCCACTAACTCTATCACAGGAAAGAAATAACCACACATTTGCATAGTTAACAATCAACAACAATATACTAACTAGTCACTCAGTTAACCACCACTAACACCACCATCACCAACTTCAAATTCATTTCAAAATCCAACGAATCCTATCCGTAGGAATCACATTCTTCCAACTAATTCAAGCGTCTATAATACAATTAATTCACACTAATCTAAAACGAGAAATAAACACTCAGGCAACTAACACCCTACAATAATTAATACCATCATCTATTATAATATTATTACGAGTCAACATTTGTGACATACCTGATTGAGTCTTTCGCGGCATAACACACAGAAATACATACCTGTACACCAAACACCATAATTCTACGAATACTCCTTCCATTTCTCCGTGATCATCACAACACCCAACACTCACTATCCACATGAAAACCTAAATCTCACTAGTGGAAATATACACACAGAGAGAAAACATTCCACAATACCCATTCACATAGGCACT